CCCCCCCCCCCCCGTGCCATTTGACTTTCCCTCTTTGATTCACTTTTTCCACCTCGTTCCTCTCTCTTCTGCTAGGAGATCTAGCACCTACTGAATGCTCACTATGTGCCAGGCACTATGTTAAATGCTCTACATATCTGATCTCACTTAATCCTAGAATCCTTATGAAAGAGGATTCTTACTTTAATTTGCAAACAAAGAGATGGAGGCTCAGAAAGTTTGGCTGACTTGTGCTGGGTTCCAGAACTTGTAGGTGGTTGGCCTAGGATCCGAGCCTGCATCTGCCTGATACCATAACCCTGGCTCCTTTCACTCTATCACCTGCTTCTCAAGCTGAAGATGGCACCCAAGAGGGCTGCCAAGCTCCTCTGGCAGAATCCAGGCTGGAACAATCGCTGATGCTGAGACAGTTTATGGTAAATTGTTTTCCAAAAATTCTATGGAATAAAATACTCCTGCAACATTATCTCCATGTATACTAGTCAGGATGGACTGCTTCCACCTCAGGACCTACCACCCTTCAAAAAATGTTAGAGCAGTAAGGGACCCTAGAGATGACCACATCCACCCCTCGCCCCACCCCACCCCCTCTTTCCAGATAAGAATGCTTTACTACCTCTGAATCAGACCTGTGCCCTCTGGACTGATTCTAGCTGAATAGAAAAGTGGACTGTGAGTGTGTGAGAGAGAGAGAGCAGCTCCTGTGCAGATGTGTGACATTCAACTTTGCTCCAAAGAGAGGCATGAATAATAGTGAGAAAATGTAGGAGTAAAAGAACATTACAGGAACTAGTTTGCCTTCTAGGACTGTAGCTGTAGTGGCCTGTTAAATTTTCCCCAGGGACCAAGGACTAACACTACTGAAGATAAGTTTCCAGGCAGCTTTGAAGATGTCATTCTTCTGGGAAATGAATCACCATGTAGCTAGGCTTAGCTTTTTCTTACTCTCCCAGCCATGAACTTAACGTGCAGTGTCACAGCCTCAGGTGTGTGATGCTGGAAGCATTTGAGGAGAAGCAGCCACAGGGGCCCCCAGCACATGAGTGCAAACCCAACAGAAACAAAGCTTCCTTTTGGGTTTACAGAGAACTGAGACAAGCTCCGAGCCCTTTTTTTGGGATTCTTGTGATGCTACAGTGGCTGAGTTGTGATTGAGAGAGAGAATATATTGCTTGAAAAATACAAAGGTATATACTTCAGAATATAAAGAAAGAGAGAGAAAGATCAGATGTTCATTAGCACAGAATCATTTACAAGCCAGCAGCTGTGATAGATGCTATGGCAAACTTTAGTTGTCCCCGTTATCTGCTCTTCCCTGCTGCCATAGGAGTAGCCTTTTCTTTGGATATGAGGTCACTCAGAACAGACTACATCTCCCAGTCTCCCTTGATGCTAGGTTCTGGCCAGTGACATCTAAGTGTAAGTGCTATGTGGTAGCTTCTGGAAATCTTCCTTGCACACATTTGCACACTTTGTCCTCTTTTTCTTCATCCCTTGTTCCATTCTGCTGCCTGGAAAGTAGATTCTGCCACCTCAGCTCATAAGGTCAAGGCCTATTTAGCATGGAGGAGCAACAGAGCAGAGCGTCACAGACCACCCACACAAACTACACGTGGGAGGGAAACAGGTTCCGTCTTGTTTTATCCGCTGTTAGCTTGGGGTTGTCATCACTTGAGTTGAATCCAATTCTAAATAACTCTTTACCCAATTATTTCATTGAGTCCTCATGATGACGCTGTGAAATAAGAGCAGTTATGCCCAATTTATAGGTGTGAAAATTAAGGCTCAGGAAGGTCTTCCCACTATACCACACTGCCTCTTTGGGAATTGTTCATTCATCGTTAAATCATGAGAGAGGGCTGTCTAAGGCCCAGCTCTGTGCTAGTTAGGTGGGTGGCCCATTATCAATCCTAGACAAAGTGAGACTTCTCTGTCCCCTTTCACTGTCTCTGAAACCCCCAGAAGAGGCTCTCTGTGATGTATTCTGGAGTTCAGAACTCTAAACAGCATGCTGCTCAGAGCAAGACCACTGATGTCCCTGTGAAAGACAGGCTGCTGGCTCTGTGCATATGTGTGTGTGTGTGTGTGTGTGTGTGTGTGTGTGTGTGTGTGTGTGTGTGTGTGTGTGTGTGTGTGTGTGTGTGTGTGTGTGTGTGTGTGTGTGTGTGTGTGTGCAGGCACACGTTAGATACACGGCATAGGCAAGCTTTTTAATTAAGACTGTTAATAAGTGTGTAAATACATTGCATTTGAATATGCATCACAGCATTGTTTATAATGGAAAAAATTGAAAAACCAAATGTGTAGATTAGTTAAATAATTTAAGGTAAATCCAAACGGTGGAATGGTATGCAGATATTAAAAATGATGTAGATGTATATTTATTGACATGGGTATATGTTTATAATGTTATTATGTTATTAAGTGAAAAGAGCAGGTTTCAAGACAATGTTTTGAATATAATCTTGTCTGAGTGGGTGAAAACCAAATGGTATGTTGTTATAGCCAAGTGGTAACTTTTTTCTTCTTATCTGTGTCTTCTAATTTTTCTATAATGAGCATGTATGCCTTGTACAATTTTTTAAATGTTTAAAAACATTTTCTTATTAGATTGAATAAGAAGTGTTAAGTGGAAAATGAAGCTTTTGGTCAGTGGCTTTCTCCAGGTGGCAGCGACAGGGCCCTCAGGGAAGCCCCCGAGAAGAGGACCCAGGGAGCCTAGTTTAGTCCCTCACTCAGCTGTCAGTTTGTAATGTTAGTTGGCTGGAGACTCAGGAGGTACCACGTATTTCCCCAATCCCTGCTGTTGCAGGCAAGTTTAGGGCTCCCTGGTTTCCTGGGGCAGGGGGGTTGAGGTACCTGAGGGGGCGGGAGTCCCCCGGCACCCTCGGGGCACTCAGGCAGCATGGTGAGCTTCTCCCTGGTGCTGCACCTGCAGGAAGGTGAGGGGTTGTCTGGTGTCCATTTCTGCTCCTGGAATAGGCGGGTGATGTTTGGAGACACAGAAGGAGTCTGCCAGGGGGTTGAATTGCCACAGGGGTATTCCCTTAGGGAAGACAAGAAAATATTCCATAATTAGTTCTAAAGTTGATAAAAATCCCTAGAAATGAGAAATAGTGCCCGACCCTCTCCTTCTCAGCCTTTCCTCCCCCTCCTCAGACCCAGGCCCTTTCTTCTCATGCTCCTGTAGGTTAGTTTCTGTTCGAGAAATATTAAGACTCGGATTTTGTTGATGGACTAGGTAGGGGAAGTGGGGTAAAATTATCTGTTTGTGGACTGTTTTATCCCTCTTTTCTTATTCTAGAAGCTGTAGCTGTTGGGACACAGAATAAAAAGAAAAAGGAATTTAAAATTAGTCTATTTTGGTCCTTATAAATAGCTTTGAAAAGACCAAATGAGAGAAGTTAGAATCATTTTGAACTTTCAGGATTCCTGGTGGATTTCCACTGCCCTCTATAGCTCCCTTCTCCATACTCGTAACAATAATTGAGAGCTGGCTATGTACGTAGTTAATGCCATTCGAGATCCAATTATACAATAGCATATACCCCATCTCCCTCCCTTCCCTGTTCAGAAGCCTTTCAAGTAAGTTCCGGGGGGGGGGCAGCGGGGGGGTCATATGTTGAATTAACATAGAACTTCTGTAATGAGAAATACAGAGCTGTCCAATGATGCAAGGGCTTTCTAGAAGTAGTGAACATCCTTGCACGCAAGTGTTGAAGGAGAGGCTGGGTGAGTGCTGGTTGGAGATATGGAAGTGGTCCCTGCAATACAGAGCGGGATTGAGATGGGAGAAGCCCGCTCTCCCAACCCTGCTTTCCTGGACCCCACCATTGGGGTCTCCTGGGTAGCTGGTGGTGTTCAGGCCAGGATGCATAGACTTACGGAAGCCATTCTTCCTTCAGGCAGCGGTTGCCAAAGCCTGGCCTGTTCAGGAGGACGTCTGCAAGTACCACGAAGCGCTCACTTCCCGGCTCGTCCAAGCTAGAAAGAGACAGAGGCTCACAGGGTGGACATGTGACAGGGACAGGGAAGGCCAAAGCAGCCAGCTGCAACTCAAAGTGTTTATGGAATGGCTATGATGTGCCAGGCATGCACGTGAGGCACTGATGTGGCCGTCGGGTGGTCACAGGTCTGGGAGTGGGGTAGGCTGCCTGCACACCCCCAGCAGTCAGATGGCAGATCGTGTCTGTGCTTTGACCCACTCACCCAAGCTTCATGTTCTCCTTCCTGCGCCCCTTCTCAAGCAGTCCTGATTGCCACTTGGGATCGCCTTTCCAGGCATGGCAGCTACAGTAATTTCCTTTCTGAGGGCAGCTTCAGGACCCCTTCCATGCTGGTGAAGGTCCAGGGGCAGTGCAGAGGTCAGGACCCTTCCATGCAGCATGTGACCCAGGAGCCCACACCCATGAAGGTGAATGGTGACTTGGGGATGAGTCTGCGCACCTGAAGAAGGTGTATTGCTGCCCATACATCCACGGATGGAGGGTCAACGAGGAATATTCACCAAAAGGAGGGATGATGATGGAAAGCAACAGAGCCAAAAACACGAAGGTGGCCGGGAGTACAATCTGTGGGAGAGAGAACATGGCAACGGGGGCTGTGGGGTGTTAGGTGTCACACACACACTCACTTGCACACACGCAAACACGCTTATTCTTTTAAACATGCACCCTGCAGCCTCATAATCGGGCTGTGGTAGAGTTCAGGCTTCGGGGAGAACATTACAGGCAGAGTGTGCAAAGGCAAGATGTGTAGAAGAAAACAGAATGTTCTAGTAGCCATGGAAAGTCTGAATGTAGGCCAATGTTCAGCCAGAGGTTAAAGGGCAGTTCAAAGAGCAAGTCACGTCACTCACCACATTACTCATAACTCACCGGAGTTATTTTTTCTGAACAAAATAACATAAGAAGAAAAAAGAGGGTAATGACCTCATCTGAACAAAATAACATAAGAAGAAAAAAGAGGGTAATGACCTCGATATGTAGGGTCATTGCAAAAATGAATGAAAACATGACTTTACCCTTCACTGTAAAAATAAAAACAATATTAACATAGTCACTATTATTCTATTTTCTCTGCTAAATGATGACTTACAAAGAAGGTTTGTACTTGCAAGAATCAAAATAAAGGTTTGGCAAGGAGGAAACAAAGCTGACAGACTCAAAGAGTGCTCATGGCTGCACTTGAACCCACGTGCGGGGGATGCTCAGGACAGGATGGAAAGGCCAGGAGAGGGCAGGGCAGGCCCCAGGAGGAGCCACGGGCACAGCCAGGGACCTGCTATAATACCTGGGCCAGGAAATCCTTGTGGCTGCGGACGGCGTGGTGGAATCGCTTGACCAGCAGTGCCTGCACGTGCTGGAGGAAGAGCCTTGCTCCCGTGTTGCGCCGGGCGCCAGGGTCCTCTGTCTCTGGGGGGGTCTGGCCCTGGGGAGGAGCAGCTGGTGCTGGGGAGCTGGTGGTGCAGCCCTGGGCAGTCTGTGTGGCCTTCCCGCCAGGACCCAAACAGGAGTGTCGGAGGCTGACATTTTCCCTTTTCTGCTGAGTGCCACCTGGTTTGGGGGATTAAATTCATCATTTGGAACAACACCCATAAGGTCTGGATCTCATCTGTGTGGCCTTCCCGCCAGGACCCAAACAGGAGTGTCGGAGGCTGACATTTTCCCTTTTCTTCTGAGTGCCACCTGGTTTGGGGGATTAAATTCATCATTTGGAACAACACCCATAAGGTCTGGATCTCATATACCATTTTTTCTGACAGCATTGATTTTCCCTTCACTTAAGTCAGCAACATAATACCATAATACCAGGCCAGGTAGGTTAACGATTCTTTTAAAAATCCATTTTCCAGTGTAAATTATCTGCAGGTAGAATCACCTGAAACTGCTTAAAAATTCTCTATTAGCATTAAAAAGAACAAAATAGGTCTAAATTCATTGACATAGAGAAAGGTCTAAAATATATAAATCAGTAAAAAAACAAAACAAAACAACTAACGTGCAGAACAATATGTGTAGTAAGATCACATTTATGTTAGAAAGTTCATACATTATTCACAAAGAAAAGGACACTTGACCACTGGGGAGGAGAGGGTTAAATGGGAAGGGGAGCTTCAGGCTTTTGTATATTATTTGAATTTTTAAACAATAAAATATAATCACTTATGACCTGTGTACTTAAAAAAATTAAAAATCAGAGTAAGCTTGGTTCTTTCTGAATTCTTAGAGGCCACTGAGAAGTGACAGAAAAACTAACGAGCTTCAAGTTAGGAGACCTGATTTTGAATGCTGATTCTTACAAGATGCAAAAATTGGTGGAACCGACTCGGCCTGTCTGAATCTGAGTTTTCTCATCTATAAAATGAACATGAGAACATTTCACAGAATTCTTTTAAAAATTAAACGAGAAAACACATGTGAACGTGCTTTATAAACCATTGTAAGTCCTCAGTTATGTTGAAGCTACAGTTTGTCTTCACTGATTAACGCTCATGTGCAGAACACCTATTATTGGACATAGTGGGAGACCCTAGAGGACCATTGGTTGGTCCCGAGCTGCTCTCTTAACCCTCCTCAAGTCCCCCACACAAGGGCAACTCTATAGGGAGTTGGGTCAGCTCAGTCATCCTTTCAACCAACATTCATGGGCACCTACCGTGCACCAGCCCTGCACGCGGAGGCCCTGGCGACAGGTAGCCCCAGGCCCAGGCCCTGCATTCAGAGGGGCAGAGAAGCTCTGCAGGTCTGCTGACCACCCAGTGCCAGAGTCCCAGTTGCTCAGGCTTCTTTTCCTGATCTGGGCTCAGATTTGATGTCTGCTGTGGCCAGCCCTCCCTCTGGTAGGACCCCTGCTGCCTCTCTCCCTCATCCCAATCCTCTGAGCTTTGCTCTGTCCCCGATGGCCCATCCAGACTGGAGCCCACTGTTTGGGCCACAGCTGAGGGCTCCAGCCTTTGTTCGGCACTGACAGTTTGTCCCTGGCTTTCTGCTGCTCTCTAGTGGTCACTGGCTGTGAGCCACTCTTCCAGAAGTGGCATTGACTTTCTTGATGCCATGCAACATCTGGCCCCAAGGAACAGCTACAGGTTCCATTGGAGATTTTGGAGAAAAGATCAGAAGATGTCATCCTCTAAAGTTGAGCTAATTCAAAACAAATGTACGTAACTATGTGAAAAATAGGAGGCAGTGAGAGTGTGGAATGGAGGATCTTAGATTTGAGAGCTAAGACCAGAGAGTAAGACCCAGAAGCCAGTGTGACAGTAAGCAAGTCATCCAACCTCTGTGAGCTCAGTTTCCCCTAGATGGGGTAGATCCCTGCCCTACCTGCCTCATGAGATTATAGTGACAATCAAATAAGAGAATGGATGTTAGTGCTTTGTAAAGTATGAAGGGCTACACAAATTTGAGGTAAGAGATGATTTGTAAATGTCGACATGGGAGTGTTGCTGAATCGTAATCAGAGGTTGCATACTTTGTTAAGACCTGGCATGCATTAACTGATTCAGTTTTCTCAAAAATTCTGAAAGGTAGATGCTATTACTATCCCTTTTCTTGCAGATGAGAAAACTGAGGTACAAAGAGGCTAAGTTCTTACCCTAAGACACTAATTTAGCAAATTATGGAGCTCAGGTTTGATGTCTGGTCTGCCTCACTGTACGACTACACTGTTTTTTTTTTTGGCAGCTGGCAGGTGCAGGGTTCTGAACCCTTGACTTTGGTGTTATAACACTGTGCTCTAACCACTGAACTAATGGGCCAACCCCCAAAAGCTATACTCTTAACCTCTACCCTTGACTGCCTCTTTGGAACATCTTATCCTATGCCCATGCTGACCACACCGTCTTCTCATGTGTTATTGTTCTCCTGAGAAGACCTAATTATTAAGACGGAGTAATCTGTACAGTTATAAGGCCCTGACTCTTGAATCCAGCAGAGCTTCTGATATAAATCAGCATATCTTCATTCTGGTCTTGGTGAACGTAAGCCTTTAGTTTCAGGTGAGCTGAGAGAATTCAATATCTGTGTCCGCAGATCTCACAGGAAAACCTGGGCCCTGCGGTGAGCTGCTCCCATCTCCTCAGAGGACCGCTGCCTCTACCCCCACTCTGCCAGGATGGCCACCTCCTTTGGCCACCACGTGACTTATTTGCATAGGCTGGAGCACATTTGGGCTGGTATATTTGACCACTGGCAGTTCAGGCATAGCTGATAAATGTTTGGGATCACTTATGAAGCAAAATGAAAGCCATATTATTTTAAGAGCTGGTGTCAGAACCCCCACAGTGAGGAAACACTCTGCGCAGGAAAACAGTGTGATATGCCACCTCGAGCAGAAGGAGGTACCAGTGACACAGGTGGTGCCAGAAGCCCAAGGCAGCAAAGGAGAGTTGCCACACAGCTTTGCCTGTGGCCAGCAGAGGGTTCTAACAGTGTGGGTGACGCCTCCTGTTCTATCAGAAGTGGTTCCATCTCCCCACCCTCCGCCCTCTGCAGCGAGGGCCTCTATCCTCACAGCGGCTTTGTGTGGCTGTTAGTTTTGGGTAGAAATCATAGAAGGGGCTAGTTGGTGCCCAGGCTGACACATGTATAAGAGAGACTCTCAGAATCCACAAGAACTTTGATGCCCATGGTTTTAAAGTTCAGAGGCCACTAAATGAGGGCTCAGAATGATCTCAGCCTCAAAGGGGCCAGGAGACTCTAGCTGGCATCTGGGTTCTATTTACTGTGACCATTACTTCTAAGGACTCTGCCAGCTGTCACTCACGCAAACAGGAATGGATCAGAAGCCTAAAGGAGATGAGAGGAGGAAATGATGATGATGACATGGCAGGGACAGGAGACTGGGGACATGGGATGAGAAGTTTGGGGACGAAGCTACCAACCTGACCTCCTTAAGAATCCTGATTCATCCAGAGTGTTCCCATCCAGACCTAACTCAATCTGTTTTCCTTTGTCGTTCAAAGGCACCAAGAATGCAAAATGCCTTATTATTTGCCTGCTTTGTTGTTTCTTGGCTTTTTCTTTAGATTTTCAAGAAAGAGCTTGGGGGAGGGGAAGGGAACAACTCACAATGCCCTGGCACCGTACCAGCAAACAGATGTCCCGAGTCAGAATCCTCCGTGACCTTCAGAAAAATCTGTCCATAAGAAAAAAAAGAGAGAACTTGGTTAGGCATTCCCACTCTCAGAAAAATTCAAGTCATGCTCCGTTTTGTTGGCTATTGTTTCATAATGGGAAGAAAATACATTACGACTCTTTAAGGACATAGTCCTCTATAAATACTAAAATGTAAGCACATAATGCAACTACGGAAACTATGCAAATGGACACAGGCAGCAGGAAGAACACTGAAAATGAAGATGATTTCTGTGCTGGGGCAGGGAATTAATGGCTTTTTGCTTTTACGAAACTTCACTTTAATGTTAGACTTTTGCCAAGACCCACCTCTTCTGGCCCCCAACAGAAACCAGCTGCAATCTCTGCATTACCTCTTCCAGGGGAGTGTCAGAAATTCCAAAGCTGCTGAGCCCCAGGTCAGCCAGCGTCTCCTCCAGCTCTCTGAAAAGGCTGGCGTATGCTCTCTGCTTGAAATTCTTATTCGGAAGAAGGAAGATAAGTTCCTGACCAATGCATTCCACCAGCTTTGCCTCTGGAACGTGGTGGCAAACCACATCCATCAACTCATTCACGTCCCCTAAGACAAGAAAAAAAACTGATGTCAAGTCTAGATTGTAAGATTGCCCAGGTCTCCTACTTTCTTTCACCACCCATTTGAGGAAGGGACATTTTGTTACTCACCAGTGACTCTTCCGGAGGACTGACATTCATGTCTGTTTTTAGCTTAGTTGGCCCTGTGATAGCCACTGTGAGGCAGAGGGAGATGGAAGCAAAAGGGCTCCCTACTAGGTAGCTGCACAACCTTGGGGAGGTCGTGTAACATATCTGTGCCAGTTTTCCCCTTTGTTCAATCAAATGCTCTGTCCCCTCAAGCTGTGTTACATTGGGCAGGTCATACCTGAGTTTTCTCATCTATGAAAAGGGGAAAGTAATAGTATCCACTTTACTGTCGTTTGTGAGGACTGGATGAGTTAATATGCACCGAGCACTCAGAGCAGTGCCTGGTGCACAGGTGAGTGGCAGCTCCTATTGTTATCATGAACATCAGCTCAGGTAAGAAGGCTCTCTGCCTTTGTTGTTGCGCATTCTCATTCACTGCAGACTTGAGGGTTAAGTCAAAGTTGCTTTCATTTTCCTGGTCTGGCCCAAACTGTAGGGAACTCACTCAAGATGCATACCTGGAACTGGAGTCCAAGCTGAGGGAGAAGCCCTTCCTAAATCTCACACCCATGCTGGGTCTGACACCTTGGAGGACCACACCACTTCCCTTGGTACTGCACCTGCCTCCTCAAACAAAACAAAACTTAATACCTAGCTTCCAGGAAATGCAGAAGGGGTTTGGGAAACCATGAAGAGAGGCTTGGGGAGTGAAGCGTGAGGTTGTAGCATGGAGCTCTGGCAAGTATCAGGGGTCGAGTTAAGTTGAAATTCCCCTATGTGGCTGGAATTAAATTTTATGCACAAGCATGTGTTACCTTAAAATTAGAAATCTAACTTCAAAACCTTCAAAGCATGCACTTGAAGAGACAGTTCTCTAGCACATCATCCTGAAAAGTGGTTCAAAGGAAAGGGATTCTGGGAACTCAGAACACAACTCCTTGGAAAGCAGTTCTCTTAGACAGAGTCAGGGTCCCAGTGGGTTCTTTTCTTTCTTTGTGTTAAAAAGGACCCATATAGTCTAACTTCAAAACCTTCAAAGCATGCACTTGAAGAGACAGTTCTCTAGCACATCATCCTGAGAAGTGGTTCAAAGGAAAGGGATTCTGGGAACTCAGAACATAACTCCTTGGAAAGCAGTTCTCTTAGACAGAGTCAGGGTCCCAGTGGGTTCTTTTCTTTCTTTGTGTTAAAAAGGACACATATAGGGGATTTCATGGCTTTCAACCAAAATCTTCCTACTGAGCTGGGTTGGAAGGCTTATTTTACGTCAAACCTGCATATTGGCCTGGATTGTCTTTAGTTCTGGGATGACTTCATACAGAGGCTGGAGACTTCTTTACTTGAGGAAGCAGCTCTGCCCTGATAGCTCCCTAGAGGTCACACTCATTGTTCTCTTAGGAAGGAAATTGAACCCAAAGCTGCTGGATTCCCAGGAATTGTGTCTCAGGCGTGTGTCAGCCTTTCCAGAAGTAGCCCTGTAGGTTAGCAGGGCTTTCAGCATCCGGCAGGGAGGTCTGCAAGTGTGTGTGTGTTATGTGGGTGCGTGTACATGAAAAGCCTTCCAAGGAGCTGAATGAGGATTAAAATGATCATCCCTCCCTTATTTGGGGCATAACTACTTACTGTACTTCCCACCATTCATAGCATTCCTACTCTATATAAAGGAGAAATAAAGTAATATTAAAAAAAAAATCACCCTAGTCAAGCAGGCCCTGTTTCCAACTGGATTTGGTGAAGCACAGTTATTATATATATTAGTATCGATTTTTAAAAATACAAATTTCCAGATCAGAATGCAGGGAAAAACCTACAGCAAGGTGGCTAGGAAAAAGACAGAAACGTCATCCTAAAAAGGTGTTTTCTGTTCACTACAGTACAAAGAGAGGGAGAGAGGGTGAACACTGATAATGCAACTCTGGGTATTTCCCTCAAGTCTTAACCGGTGTGCACAAATATTGTCTAGTTTTCTTGTTTCACCAGATTTCAGTTAGGAAATTCTTCAGATTTAGAAAAAAATTGTGCTAAATAGGAAACTCTGTTTTTTCTTTGATAAGCAGATACTTTCTCCCCTTCATTAACCTGGGCCAGTACATAAGTTTAGCATTGCTCCTACTGAGGAACATGGGGTGTGTGGTATTCTATTTGCAAGGACACCCCCATGGGCAGTGGGGGGCACGCATTCCTGGAGAGTGGGAAGAGTTGTGGGCACGCACTCAGGTCCCGGGCTCAGATGTTACAGGGTGGCAATCGCTCTATAGTGATGGCCTCTCCACTGCATGTCCCTGGAGGCTGGGGCACCCCTGAGAGCTTTAATGCACCCTAATTTAAGGGAGAATCACTGGAAAACTGGGAAGCTGAGGGAACAGTTAGGAGTGTAACAGTGATGTTTAACGTTACACAGACTTGCAGTCTGCACACGCGATCTCTGACTCTCGGGAAGTTCACTGTAAGAGCTGTGGGTCACCATGGTTCCACCAGAGGGCGCCAGAGCAGCCCTCTCCAGACACTAAGGAATGTCGCCTGGAGCCGGGGCAGGAGGACCCCAGGCATGGAGGCTTAAGGGCACGGAATAAACAAAGACTGCATTCCTCACTAAAGGGACCGGGCCCTTAGGTGCACGACTTTTAAGATCCCTTTGAGAATGGAGCAAGAAGGAAGAAGACAAAGAAGCTCAAAGAAAAAGATGAACAATTGTATGACCTTGAGCCTGACAAGTACACAGTGTTCTCTTTGCTCCCATTAAAATGCATCACAACAGGCCACACCCAATAATTCCAGGAGATGGTTGCCAGACAAGAACCAAGGAGTGGGCTGCCCCAGTGCTTACCGTCCAAGACCTGTTCTGAAGTTACCTCCTCGACACAGGCTGGGCACCTGATGGAGAAGCCCTTAGATGCACACATGCAGGTCCCCTACAACGGACGGACAGAATGACTGAGAAGATGCACAGCACTCCAGCATCCAAGCATTTTGAAGGTGTAGCCACTCGATTTTATTCTGGAGAGTGTGTGAGTCAGGCACAGAGAGAAGCAGAACCTCAAAGGATCCCTTTGGCTTGTCATTAACCATGTGACAGCTATAGGTTCTGCCTGTGCAAGACATTCTGCTCCTCCCTCCCTGGGCTACGGAAATCTACCCAGGGCAGGAAAACCCAGCAGCAGCCAGACACTTCAACTAGAGGCACAAGTAATGCTACAACGTAATAATCATAACAATCTGAATGCGACCAATGCTTGTTCTCAAGGGGCCCAGAGCACATTCAAATACTTTATCCCATTTATCTTCACATGCCTAAGACACAGAAGCAAAGATCATCAGTTTTGTTTTCCACATGGGGGAAAAACAACAACGAAGAATTAGGTAATTTACCTAGAATGACACAGTTTTTCCATTCACAACCCACACCTGAACCTGGGTCTCTTGACATGCAGAAGTGGTCTCTGCTGGTTGGTATTTTTTGGCTTCATCATTTTTAGGTTATAGTTCCCAAGGAGGCCTTTGCTTAGCTTTCACTTACTACTGAAATTCAGGTTTAATTAGGGAACATGAATGTTGAAATGGAAAAAAGGAAGCTTACACAATTACTCTTAAAACGGTCTAACCTTGCAGAATGAGACACTCACTTCAATGTTAAACCAAAACACATGGGTACTTTGGGACACTGGCGTGTGATAATTTCAGGTCATTTAAAACTACTTGCTCCATATTGGTTAAAACATCACTGTAGAAGGGTTCAGAATGTGATTATCGAAATCTGCAAATGGTCCCGGAACCAAAGAAGCTGATTCTGACGGCTAGAGCTTGATTGGGTAGAAATGTCTGGAGTGGCAGCCCCATGCTGTGTGTTCCTTCTCACCCACGGTGGGCTTGTTCCCTGGGCAGGGAAGAGAGACCATACCTCGCTGCTTTTTCTTTGGCTCTGGATGTTTTTCATCTTGCGCACCAAGGTTAAGTAGAAGCCTGTGCCAAAGCAGTTCTTCAGGAAGAGCGGGGTGCCCGAGCAGTAGAGCCTTCCCTGGGAAATGATGGCGATGCGGTCCCCAAGGAGGTCTGCCTCGTCCATATGGTGAGTGGACATGATGATGGTTCTGCCTGCAAGGATGGGGTTGGGGGAATCACTGGGAAGACCCTAGGCTGGGCGTGGCTGGTAGAGATGTACAGCAACCTCCCAGTTATATAGTTGCAAAAATTGGGAGTTAATTAAAAAAAAAAAAGAGCTAATTCTGCAGCAAATTTCAGGATATTAGGATAATAATGACAGTAGCTAACATTATATAGTATCCTACATATTGTAAAGCACTGTCATATACTGTATCCCTTTACCAGGCATAGGATCTGATTCAAATAAATCACCATATATAGGACACACCTATTGTCAGTCTATTGAGTTCCATGTGTACGTTCTCTGGATCATTAAGCTCTGCATTTATAATCTTTGTAAAGAACGTGCACACACACACACACACACACACACTTTTACCAACTGGAGATGTCATTAAGTTAAAACAGTAGTGAGGACTACAGGACAGCAAACCACCAGTGATGGTGCAGGCAAAGGCTGTTGGAAGATAGTGATGAGGGAAATCTCTGGTTCCACCACAGGACTGAGCTGCACTGTCACTTGAGGGCACTCTGAGCTCTGCTTGCTGTGTCTTCTGGACCTGAGCCCTCTGCTTGAAAGATGCCATGACAGAGGAGGCAATGTCGCTTTCTGAGACATTCCATCTACAGCAGCCCTCTGTGGCACTGAATATCCAGAAGTCACCCACATACCTGGTCCTGAGTAGTCGTCTGACAACGATGGAGCTTCTTGGGATGTTTGTGGGTGACCTGGATCCCCTTAGAGGAGAATTTCACCTAGAGCTGCGCCCATTATCCCAGACATAAGGGCTACAGGTTGACAGAACCTTCCAGAATATTGTGAGAAGTAGGCTGCCCCATCTGTCCCTCCCTGTTTATGTTTATGTAAAAATGTCAGGAGACTTTAACTAGAACTTAGAGTCACTGATAAAGCCCGTCTGAGTGGAGTACGGCTGTTACTCAGTTGCAAAATGCCGGGTGTGAGAGAGTGGGAACCACAGGAAGGCCTCCGTGGGAGCACGGGGCACTGAAGAGTGGCCCTTACCTGAGCGATACTTCAGGAGCAGGTCCCAGATGGAGCGTCTTGAATAGGGGTCCACCCCAGAGGTGGGCTCGTCCAGGACGACCACCTTGGCATCTCCCACAAAGGCAATGGCAACAGAGAGCTTCCTCTGCATGCCACCTAGAGGCACAAGGGGGAGGGGGTCACAGGGGCTGTGGAGGATGGGAAGAGAAAGACCAGGCTGGCAGCATCAAGGGGGAAGTTATCTTAAATCCAGCAGCCATTTGATGCTGCCTCCTTAGATGTTTATACAGTGTTCAAAACCCTAGCAGTGTACGTGCCTTGTAAATGCAGAAAAGACAACCCTTGCCTCCAAGATCAGATCATGTGAAGACTGTTCAAACACATATACATTAGAACAAATAAAGCCCAGGCTGCTGCAAGGCAGTGTTCTGTGTGGGAAATGACCCAGAGGTGGGCTGCGCTTAGATTCCCAGAGTAACTTCACAGAAGTTCCAGTTCGTAGCAGCTCTCCCGTATGAGCCCCCCCTGCCGCCCGGTGCGCTGGCACGTGATGCATTAGCCCTCTGTAGCCCTGTGTCCTTCCAACACCGAGCACCTGACAGGTCCTGAGCTTCTTCATTCCTCTTGTGGTGGAGGCCTGTCTCCTCCAGCATGGCCTCCATCTCCAGGCGGGCCTCCTCCCACGACTTGCCCTTCAGCTGGGCATAGAACAGGATGTGCTCAGCCACCGTGAGGCTAATGGGGATGGGGAGAGGGGAGAGCAGTGGGCTCAGCAACTGCACTCCTAGCAATTTATCTTACAGAAATGATTAAAGACGAGTACAAGGGTTTAGCAACCAAGATGTTCATTGTGCTGTTGTTTATGATGCAGAAACAAAAACGAACAACAGACCCCGACTAAATATCAAACAAGAGAGGATGGCTTGACTAGTTCATTCACACTGCAGAGTAACATGTAAACATTAACAATTGTTTTATAAAACAAAAAGAGCATGTAATGATGGGGAAAGATGTTCATGATATCTTAGGTTAAAAAAAAGAAATCACATTTTAAAAAAATGGCGGGTTAAAAAATTGTATGCATAGTTTAATTCTCCTTTATAACTTGAAAGATATGTGTATATCTATAATGCATGCAGAAAAGTTCTGGAAAATTATACACCAAGGTTAACAGTGTTATGTCTGGGTGGCGAAATTACAGGTGACTTTTATTTTCCTCTTTTTAAAAATCTATTCCTTCCTTCCTTCCTCCTTCCTTCCTTCCTTCCTTCCTTCCTTCCTTCCTTCCTTCCTTCCTTCCTTCCTTCCTTCCTTTCTTCCTTCCTTTTTTCCTTCCTTCCTTCCTTCTTTCCTTCCTTCCTTCCTTCTTTCCTTCCTTCCTTCCTTCCTTCTTTCCTTTCTTCCTTCCTTCCTTCCTTCTTTCCTTCCTTCCTTTCTTCAATGATAATATACAAATCTTGTAGATTTTTAGATAAGAAATAAAAGATATTTTAATTGGAAAAAGAGCAACTGAAAAATCAGTCTTTAGTGCCATGACTTAAAAGAAAA